GACAAAGTCATCCCAAGGAATGTCCGGCAACGATGATGACTCGAGCTTCAATCAACTTAGCGTCTAAATAACAAAATTTAAACGAGCATGCGACAAAGGCTCTTACCTCATGACCACCTTGACCGTATGGGACCTATCGAAGAAGTTAGCAATACCCGCATTTAATATACCATGAGATGTGGCAATCGCCTGCCTCCTGGCCATTATTTTCCTTCGTATGAAAAATCCACTGAAACGTTTCTCCGTGGGGGCTCTTAATTTGATTTCGACGTTCATTCAGAGTTTCGTATCGTAGGCTTCCCAGCAGCGTTTCATGCTCCTGCTTTTCGACCTCTATGAGCGCCAATGCCTCTAGGCAAGAATAAATATGACCCTGAACTCTGCTAGATTCGGTGACAATGCTGGTATTCAAGGACTGCTGCAGGTGGGTCGCTTCGCTACTGACATGCGCTTTGGCTGACGACGACTCGGTTTGAATGAGTTTATAGAGGCAGGTTTGTCCACGACCACAGGCTTGGACGAAGCCTTGTAGAACTGTATTCAGTTCGTTGAAGTCATTTTGCTGCTGGATCAGGATAGCATCGTTCTTGTTACTGTGCAACGCTTTAGCAAAGTACCTTCACCTGGTGGCGAGAACCCAGACTATTACCAGATTCGAAGTAGCAGTTGGTTTTCGAGAACCTCCCGACGAGAGAACATCGCCTTTTCCATGTTCTCGATCTTCTTCTTCCCCCCCATGATCATTTTTAGCCACCCACGAAGTGCAGCAGATTGCCTGCCCTTGGATGCGATGCCGGCGATCTTGTCTAGCTCGTTCTTCAAAACCGATCCGATGTCGAGACAACTTTGAGCAATGTCGAGCAATCCTTGCTCGTCTCTATTTAATGGTTTTGTTGCCGTTTCCAGCGATTTTTTTAATCCGTCCAAGCCCCGGGTCAGGCAATCGGTGGTATCGGCGAGGTTGGGATCGAGACACCCCGTGTCGTAAATGGTCTTGCCGATTTGAACCCCTTCCTGGACGAAATTTATCACCTGCAGTACGTTGCAGGCCAGCCCGAAGGCCGCAAGCGCTTCAAGACCAGACATGCCGGCGACTTGAGGCAAAAGGTCGCACGTCTGACGCTATGGAGGGGGCGGATTGACAGGGGGACATCAAGCCGCGATGAGGCAGCAGAGAAGACGTGGGGAGGTTGGGCAGCTGTTCGCGCTGACGGGAGGCGCTAATTTAGACCCATGCCCGGCGAGCGGGGTCTGGCAGGCAGCCGACGCGGCCGGATTAACCTCCGGCCGCCCGCTTCGCCAGTGTGTGTGTGTGTGTGTGTGTTATTATTTAACGTCCGGGAAGCTATTAAGCTAAAGCCCCTATCGGGGCAAAGGACGTGCTAGGCTGATGAGAGTCTATCTACAAATGACATCAGCTCCAAACCGCTGTGCTTCGCCGAGTTCCTGCCGGTTGGGCCAGGGTAGCAGTCACTGAGTTGTGGCTGCCTCAGGCACCAATGGCTCTCATTTCGGCCGCCCCGCAGTTTGCGGCCGACGCGTCCTCATTTCAAAACAAACACCATCGGCTCAAGGCGCTCTTTCGTCGGAGCCTCGCACCCGTCCGCGGGATGTAGAGTCGCATGCGACGATGCGTCGCTGTCAATGCTCACCTTTCTGATGAGCCTGGGAAGGCTTTTCCTCACTGGCTGCGTGCGCAGCCAGAGCGGAGGGCCTCGGCCGGGTGAAGGGCGCTGTCACGCCCTTTACTCGACCGTGACCAGAAATTGGAGAAACGCGAAACACAAAACGAAACTGAAGAAAGGGAGTGTTGGCCGCCTAATGGCGCGGACAGATCTTTTGAAAGAAGGAGCTTTCCGACGTCATCTCGACGAAGGCTTTGAAGCCCTTGCCTATTGCATGGTGTATCGCTTCGGCCGGTGAGGGGGCAAGCCTCATCCGGAGCCGTGGCGGTACTTTCCTGCAGTAGAACGGGTGCTCTGGTGCTTTGCGTCGTCCGCATGAGCAGTCAAGACGCGCGTCGTCATGATTGGAACGCTCGTGGTAGTCGGCGAAGTCTCCATGGCGAGATCTCGCCGCAAGGAGGCTGTGGAGCGTTGCCCTTGGGAGCGCCAACTCTGGAGGGCAGCTTGTGGCTGCCTCGAGGTTCAGAGTCTTTGTATGACTCTGGCGCTTCAGTCGACCACCAATCTTTGAAGGCATCTCTCGATTGCTGCCTCGCAAGTCGACGCAGGTGGGCCAGCGATGGCATGGCTCCGGGTGGTTCAGGCTGCAAACAACCTGCTTTGGCGAGGCCGTCGGCCTCCTCATTGCCTGGTATGTCGGTATGTCCTGGTATCCAGCGGACCTGCACATTTCCGTGCGAGGTCGCCAGTTCTTGGAACTTGGTGAACTTGTCCTGCGACGAGTCGGCGGGGTTGCCTCGCAGACAGCTGGCTACAGCGAGATTGTCGGTGCAGACCACGACTGCGCTTCTTGTGTCACCCAGGCGGAGAGCGGCCCGAAGGCCCTCTAGGGCGCCGGTTGCCTCCGCGTCGAAGATTTCGGATGGACCCAAACGGCCCGATCCTTGGACTAGCGATTGCTTGTCCCGGTGTACTGCGAAGCCGAATCCCACGGCGCCGTTTGGAAGTTGCGACCCGTCGGAGTAGACGATGAGCGTGGCTGCGGCGGCGGTTCCAAGCCATTCGAGGAAGTCACCAGCGGTTTCGGCTTTGTTCGCAGTCTGAAGAGGGCTGGCTTCTATGTCGGAGTAGTGGCGCGGCAGGAGGCAGCGATCATGGTACATACACGGTAGACGCCGGGCGGAAGCCCACCCTGTACCACGGCTTGGAGCAGGCCTCGCCCGTTCCCAGCATCGTCTATGCCCTTGAAGAAGGCGAACTTAGTGGGGTCCGGCGGTGTAGTAGCCTGCAACGACCCGATGTCCTGGATTGTGACGTGACAGAGACCGATGATGTCGCCGTTGCTGTCCAGGTCCTGTGGCGCTGTGTAGTAGCTGGTGGTCGGGTTGACGAAGTTGCCAGCGGCCAGATGCGTCGTCTGCACGGACACGTTGAAAGTGGTGTCAGACGTGAGGGTATCGCCCGGCTGCGGTTGTGTGATTATGGACGAGATCATGTTGGAGGTTGCAGGGATGCGACCCATGGGTACGCCGTTGCAGGAGCCGGAAACAAGTTGCTCGCCGTTAGTGAGTTCTTGACCCTTTACAAAAGGTAATGAAGTTGTTGGCGTCACTAAAGCGAGCTGGTCAGAGTTATGTCCTGAAGAGGGAGGAAGTATGGCTGTATTACATCTCGGACTTGGCCTGCCCCGGCTTAATGCCCTGAGTCCCTGGCTCTTGGCCGGTGAGGTTGCTGGCGCTTTGTATAACATCTCCTGTCAGGCAACATTGCCCGCCGTTGCCACGGTTGTTACCATCGTTGTTGGCATTGTTACTATTAACATTGTTGTTCTTGTTGTTGTTGTTTGATCTGTCACTCGAAGCGAGCTGACCGCCAGCAGGAGACCTGGCTAAGGTTGAACTATCGCCCAGTCCAGCTGAGACGAGAAGCGCAAAAACGAGAGTGGCAAACATTGTACCTGCGTGTGTGAAGAAGGAGAAATGCCAAATATTACGGTATGGGCAAGCTGGATCTAACTGATCAACTGAGATGCGAATGAAGAATATGACTTGCAGACTGCATAAAGAAGAAGCAGGAAAGGGTTCCGTCTTATACAACTTGGTGCAGCAGGATTCATTCCCTCACCATACTCCAATGTCGCAATCAGACAGGGAAGTTTGCCGGAGCGAATGCTACGAGGGGCAAGTACTGCAATGCCGCAGCTCCTCGCTTCAGCCCAAGAGTCATCAGAATTGCTGTTTCGAGCTAGTCGCCGTTGTTGTCGCAAGATCAGACCGACCAAGGGACGAACTCCAGGGCTAGAGGGGGATTCTATGCAGCTGTCAGAATGGCTCAATTTGGAAATGCTGATATTGTCATCATGCACCAGGTCTCAAGATTGGGGCTTTAGGATTTGCTGGTCGCCGAAGCGACGAGGACCTCTTCATCAGAAACTGCCCCCTAGCGACAGCGCCAAGAAACTCATATGAAACAAGTCGACAAGGATCTACAGTGTGTATCGGTCCACCTTGCTGATCATTTCCCCGTGCATTTATTGCCCTCAGTGACAAAATTTGCGTTGCATCCTCAACTACTCGAAAATTTAAACCGTGTTCTTCCCCGTCGTATTCAACCGAGCCCGATGCCATGCCCGGATCATTTCGAACCTGAGCCGCATGTGTCACTGGCCGCTGCAGCACGGCGAAAGCAGCAACACATGGTAATGAGCGCCCAAACAGCCGAAACGCGATCGATTCTGACAAGGGTCACGAACGAGTGCTGCCGCCTCTGCCTGCATTCTCCAATAACGGCGCTTCAATGTTGTCCATTCTTCTGTAACCGCTAGAGCATGTACCCGCATCCAGCCATTTGTTTGAAGTCGCGGCGCTTCGCTCCTCCCACGACGCTTCTGGCTGTTCGCCATGGCGTGTCCCACGCCAGAATCGGCTGTCTGCTGTTGCACAACAGGAGTCAAGGCGATAATGGCCCTATCAATGCATGAATGCCGCGGGCACGCCCCAATACTATGCCGAGCCCATGTCGATTGAAGCTACCGTAGCATCAGGAACTTCTCTCTGTCTGTGCGGCTCCTGACCAGGTTGCCCGCGTTTCCACCCGCAGCTGCCTGCCGCCCGGACTCAACCCCATTCGCCATGATAGCCGGCGTGTTACTTCCACAAGCGCGAGCCCGGGAGGCCTATTGGACGGGACCCCGGGAAGGGGACTCCGCAGTTTGGCATTGCGCCGCAATGCCCGCGACTGCTACGGCTAGTAGTAGTAGGTTCAGCCAATGGTTCAGTGGGAGTAGTTGAGAGTTCTTTGAGTCTATAATATCGAAATTGACACGTTTCCCAACTGCCCTTTCATATCGTACACCTGCTGCCTCTCGTTCGTCCTCTAACCCTTAACAAACTTGAAGGTGGCACTCTTATCGCACTTCTCGTTATCATCAAGCTCGAAAGAGGCGCCGCAGTAGCCAGACTGGGAAACAGCAATCCCGATAAACTTGTCCTTGACGTTGCTCTTGCCCGAGGCGAGCACTTTGTAGTCCCCGTCCCGCTGCACCTCGCAGATGTTGGGGTTACCGCCAAAATCCGCCAGGCAGTGGAACCAGCGTGGCTTGTTCCAGCAGGAGCTAGAGATTTGGAAGGTGCGGCCATTTTCGACATTGTAGCACGGCGAGTGGTCACCAGGGTCGCCCGCGCTGTAGAGCTCGATGCCCTTGTCGTCGGTGATGGCGAACCCGCTCGAGTGGCCGATCTCGTTGCCGGAGGCGGTCCCAGCAATGGTCTCGAAGTGGCCCGAGGACCAGACCACCTGCAAAGTCTGTCCGGCCGAGGCGCCAGACGAGAGGAGAGGGATGGCGACGAGGCCGATGAGCGTGTTGCGGAGGGAAGGCATTGTGATGTATAATGCGAGTGTAAGGGTGTTGTTGGCTTTGTTGAGAGATGGTGCGCTTGGCTGTGGAATGCTTTTGTGTGTGTGTGTTTGTCTGAGACGAGAGTTCGATTCGGATGAAGCGGCGTCGAACGACGGTATTAATACTCGTTTCGAAGTGCGCGAACGCCCACCGTCGACGCGATCGTTGTCTTGCAAACCACATGGTTGTGAACGTCTTCCACGGTCCCGTTGGATGTCCAGCGCTAATCAACCGGTGGCATTACCATCGGCTGCGAGCAATTGCAGTTCTCTGCTCATTTGGGCCAAGTCTCGGTATCCCAACTTGATGGTGTAGCAGGCAGAAGTCAAACTGAGTCGTCGTCGGAATCCTTCTACTAGAAATTGCGGGTATGTAAGCCCTATGCCACGGCTATGCAGTAGCTCGTTTTTCAATTGCCATGTTACTAACCAGGAGCAAATGGGGCATGGTGGTTGTCGCGGTGGGTCTGAGTCGGAAGGTATGACGCAATGCATCGTGTGTATGTGTACATGTAGGAATGTGGCGCGTGAGCCACGGAGGCGAAACTAGTTCCCGCGATACCACCTTGAGTTGCTTCTTAAGAAAAGAAAAGATTTTTAGCTACGCAGCGCAATTCACGTCCTGCGGGTAGTCGCTTGGTCTGAGGGCCAGTTTCGTTTCAATAAGCATTGACAATGGTATTGCGAAAGGCCCCTGCTCTAAGAACGCACAGACGGCACTAATGTTTGGATCATAAAGGGATGCGCCTCCGCTACGGGATCGGCAACGGGGAGGCTTGAAAGGAAGAGAAACGAGCGCTGTCCCGTGGGCCTTACGCGCTCGTACGGCACAGCGGATCTACAACTACTGGGGTTGCCAGGCAGCCACGGCGGTCAATTGGAGCTTTCGCAATGAGATATAGCCAAGGAATGTTGGATTTTACTGATGGGCGTTCCCCACAAAAAGAGGCATTGAATTGCTGCACCCTAATTAAATAAATCACGCAATGGGGCAGCAAATGGCATTTCGAAATATGAGTATAGTTAGGACCAAGGCATTCTATCGTAGGAAAAGAGAAACATTGTGTCTTTGGCGCTCGAATGCTACTCCACGATTAGAGAGCATGTCCTCTGTGAACAGAGATGCTACTGATTTGGAGGAGGCAGGTTAGGGTCCCAGAACGAAGATTTGAGTACCTTCATAGGGTTAGTCTCCCGCGGATGGCACCAATGACGTTGTGCGATCCTTCTGCAACACTGACGAAGGGTTAAAGTAGCACCCCGTTGACGAGACGGAGGAGCTGCGTAATCGTACTTAGGCGAGTCTCACATTCATCTGTCGGTCTCTGGCATCGGTCTTTGCAGTTGCACTTCTCTGGTTGTGGATGCACACGTAAGCCTTGCTTAGTCTCTCAAAGTTCACGGCCGCTGACTGGGAATTGATCCTTCACCCTTGTCATGTCGGATTGAAACATGATCATTCTCCCCAGCGGCCCTGCGTAACATGTCGCATTGATATTGCGGATCCGTTAATTCTCCCGTTTAGCCACTTACGTTCGGCGTTATCGAGCAATTCGATATTGTTGGTCATTGTGGCCATTAAGACTACCGCCTGTTTCCCCGCAGCATTTTCTGACGCAGGAGGCTGCTTATGCTGCTATTTCTATTGAGGCCAATCACGATTCTTATTCCAAAAGTGCATTCTCTATTACCCAGGAGTCCCCTGAAAGGCAGAAAAGGTCACTCGCCTTCCATGTAGGCAACGGCCAGAAGCGAGATTGCCATATTTACCCCTCCACTTCAAGTTCCCGCGTCAGCTTGTCGAACTATAAGGAGCTGCATTTGGCCTGGTCGGGTAACAGATCGTTTCGGCTTGCGCAGCTAGGCTTATGGGAAAGGAGGCATTTGGACACCGGCCGCTGCCGAGGCGTTGGACCCTGCATGTCGATCGTCACGAATTGTCCGCTCATCCACTCCTCACGCTGCTGCAACGTCCACTTCCTGGTTTGATACGTTGACGCACTCATTCTACCTCAAATCATTGTCCTTATTTGGAGCCGTGGCAGCCCGAACTTGCTGTAAATACAGTATGTACAAGCTTCGATCTCCAGTCCCAGGGGAGTATAGGGAGCTTGTGGATGTGGCCGGCTCTTGGTGACCGGCCAAATCCGGTGCGCCCTTGCACCGCCGAAAGTACATAGCACGGAAACAGAGAGGGCTCCCCAATCACCGTTTAACGAAAAGCAAGCATTGGTCAACGTACAGTTGTCCGGTAGAGACCTTCCATTCCACAGTGGTCCTGTGAGGCCGGGGCGTCTTGTGGCATTGCGGAAGAGCGCGCGGCCACCCCTGAATGGGAATGGGGTATATGGACATTTAGCCAAACCCAGATTCCAGTTTCTGGACACCGTTGAGGGATGTCTCTCGCTACCGTGTCCTCCAGCCATGACAAGCGGACCAGATCATTGGACTGTGGCCGAATGTGGCTTCTCCTGGCTGGCGCAGTCCAAAAATGGGCAAAGAAGATCCTGGATCGGGGCTGGCTCCAGGTATGGTGGCAGGGTGTCGCTCCATCCAATTCCTCACGTAGACAGTGTCGTCAATTCGTCGCATGCAGCTCGGTGATGTGGAGCTTGTGCCGAGATGCAGTAGCAGGGGTTTGCGCTGTCTAATTGTCGACCACGGCGGCGGCGTACAATGTCCAAAGCTTGACATGCAGATCACTGTAGCAGAGGCGGCCTTGGCACATTCTTCAGGTCCACGTTGCGCGGCAGCTGAAAGTCGGTTTCTTGACGTCTGGTGGCATCTCGTGCTGTCGTGTCCACCGCTTCCTGACGTGCCGATCACTGTTATGGGACTTGTAAGTGGAAGCAGTGACAGGGGTCGGCTCGTCCGATTCTTCACATGCAGGCCGCCATCGTGGGCATACAGGGCAGNACTTAGGCGAGTCTCACATTCATCTGTCGGTCTCTGGCATCGGTCTTTGCAGTTGCACTTCTCTGGTTGTGGATGCACACGTAAGCCTTGCTTAGTCTCTCAAAGTTCACGGCCGCTGACTGGGAATTGATCCTTCACCCTTGTCATGTCGGATTGAAACATGATCATTCTCCCCAGCGGCCCTGCGTAACATGTCGCATTGATATTGCGGATCCGTTAATTCTCCCGTTTAGCCACTTACGTTCGGCGTTATCGAGCAATTCGATATTGTTGGTCATTGTGGCCATTAAGACTACCGCCTGTTTCCCCGCAGCATTTTCTGACGCAGGAGGCTGCTTATGCTGCTATTTCTATTGAGGCCAATCACGATTCTTATTCCAAAAGTGCATTCTCTATTACCCAGGAGTCCCCTGAAAGGCAGAAAAGGTCACTCGCCTTCCATGTAGGCAACGGCCAGAAGCGAGATTGCCATATTTACCCCTCCACTTCAAGTTCCCGCGTCAGCTTGTCGAACTATAAGGAGCTGCATTTGGCCTGGTCGGGTAACAGATCGTTTCGGCTTGCGCAGCTAGGCTTATGGGAAAGGAGGCATTTGGACACCGGCCGCTGCCGAGGCGTTGGACCCTGCATGTCGATCGTCACGAATTGTCCGCTCATCCACTCCTCACGCTGCTGCAACGTCCACTTCCTGGTTTGATACGTTGACGCACTCATTCTACCTCAAATCATTGTCCTTATTTGGAGCCGTGGCAGCCCGAACTTGCTGTAAATACAGTATGTACAAGCTTCGATCTCCAGTCCCAGGGGAGTATAGGGAGCTTGTGGATGTGGCCGGCTCTTGGTGACCGGCCAAATCCGGTGCGCCCTTGCACCGCCGAAAGTACATAGCACGGAAACAGAGAGGGCTCCCCAATCACCGTTTAACGAAAAGCAAGCATTGGTCAACGTACAGTTGTCCGGTAGAGACCTTCCATTCCACAGTGGTCCTGTGAGGCCGGGGCGTCTTGTGGCATTGCGGAAGAGCGCGCGGCCACCCCTGAATGGGAATGGGGTATATGGACATTTAGCCAAACCCAGATTCCAGTTTCTGGACACCGTTGAGGGATGTCTCTCGCTACCGTGTCCTCCAGCCATGACAAGCGGACCAGATCATTGGACTGTGGCCGAATGTGGCTTCTCCTGGCTGGCGCAGTCCAAAAATGGGCAAAGAAGATCCTGGATCGGGGCTGGCTCCAGGTATGGTGGCAGGGTGTCGCTCCATCCAATTCCTCACGTAGACAGTGTCGTCAATTCGTCGCATGCAGCTCGGTGATGTGGAGCTTGTGCCGAGATGCAGTAGCAGGGGTTTGCGCTGTCTAATTGTCGACCACGGCGGCGGCGTACAATGTCCAAAGCTTGACATGCAGATCACTGTAGCAGAGGCGGCCTTGGCACATTCTTCAGGTCCACGTTGCGCGGCAGCTGAAAGTCGGTTTCTTGACGTCTGGTGGCATCTCGTGCTGTCGTGTCCACCGCTTCCTGACGTGCCGATCACTGTTATGGGACTTGTAAGTGGAAGCAGTGACAGGGGTCGGCTCGTCCGATTCTTCACATGCAGGCCGCCATCGTGGGCATACAGGGCAGAGGCATACGCCGCCATATTTTTTGGTTGGCACTGGCAGCTACAGGACATGTCGCTTCCTCGTCGTTACGTGGTGCGGCGCCTGTTTCTACAATGCAGGACGTTATGGGGTCACACGATCTGGTTCTGGATGTGCAGACCTAGTGCGGTAAGCTGCTGCCGCGTCCGAAGGCGGCCAGTTGTCCAGTTGGAGAGAATTGCAACGGCGGTGACACCGAAAGGCAGAAACCAGCCTTCTGTCCTGATGTGGGCAAAGGGCGAGTCAGCTCCCAAGTGGCCATCTTGTCGACTACAGAACCTGCAGTCCGGTCGGGGGTGCGGAAATAGCACCTCATGGCGGCAAGAGGTGAACTTCCGTGGCCTCATCCACACACCCCCCAGAAACTCATCCCCGCAGCCAAGCCTGCCCTGATATTCCCATTTCTGGAAGCCATGTTAAAGGCCACAAGCTCCCTGTGTACCTGCATCGTTCAGTTCCTGATGAGCTCTGATGACTTACAGAAGGTCATGCAAGGCCAACACTGACCACCCGAAGCGGCGGGGGAGGGCATGGTCATAGCGGCCCCATGTTGGCAGGAAGTGGACAATCGCCCGTCGTTCCCCCAGCCACCCCCCACGACAGAAACCGTCATGGAAGGCCACAACGAACTTTGCCGTTTACGTAAAGACCATGCAAGGCCACTTGTGGCCATTTATAGGCGTGGAGTGGGCAACC